GAGGTCCAGGGAACAGCTCTGCGCTCAACTTCTGCGAGCTGAAGCTATCTTTGAGGGCAACTGTCGATTCTACGGTTCATGATATAAATCCTGCATTACCCATAATAAGGAATAGACCCATAATTCCCATAGCTTAGGGCCCCTATAACGTAATGCAGGTTTCATATCATCAACGGTATTTCCATTCGCTCCTTGTCTTCTCGGCTCCGAGGTTCCTGCTGGCCGTGAGAACAACGGTGCTGTTGTCCACGGCAACAAGATGTATTTGCCTCTTGTCTCACTGAGAGGGTTTAGGGTTTAGGATTTAGGGCTTCGTCACAATTGTGCGATGTGTGCACACTGCGAAAGAGTCTCATTCCGGTCTTCAGCTTCGAGCTATCTGAGGTTCGGGGGCTACTCCGGCTTCACTTGGTTAAATGACTTTCACAGCTTCAACTTCGACACGAGCACCTGGCAGGCTGTGCCGTTCTCACCCCAGAAGCTTAGCAATGATCTCCACAGTGGTACCCAGAGACTCCAATATCCCTTAATTAAGGAATATACCTTAAATCATATTAAGGATCCTACTATCATTTAAGGTATATTCCTTAATTAAGGGATCTTGGAGTCTCTGGGTAGCCTGGTAGCACAGCAGGCGATGGCGCAAGTTTCAAGCTGAGGTCGGGTCACAAAGGCAGCGTGCCTTCGACTCGATTTGGCTACGTGTCGGCCGTGTTGCTCGCCTGCACCTGTGCTAGTGCTTGGGACAGCGGGTTTGTTGAGGCTCATGAGGGTCCACTGCAGAAAAAAGGCATGGCGATTTCATGTACGTCTTCGGTGGCTATGACGGCTCTGCCTGGTTGAACGACATGTTCGACTTCGACTTTGAGCGAGGGTCGTCCTGGGCCTAGCTGTTCAGCGCTTTGACGGAGTCCGGCCTGGGTCGTGGTCTCCAGCTGCACTCTGCAATGGGTCGCTAAGGTGGTACTCAACGCAGGTGCAGGGCTTCATCCCCTCTGGAAGGAGGGGCACGTCAGCACGGATATTCAGGTATATGATGCAGCGAGGGTTTCTGCTTTCATCCGGGACCAAAGCGAGACATCGTGAGGGGCCGCATGAAGCAAGCATGGAGTACCGGAAGATGTGCCAGGAGTTGCCCATCCTGGGCAACTCACAATGGATCTGTCTACCTCTTCGGAGGCTATGATGGCCTCTGCCCTGGAATCCCGGAAGTGCTGATGAAGAGCTATCCTGTTCGTAGAGCAGTTGGGACTGCCCGCCAGACCCCGAGGTGTCCATCGAATGAACGACTTTCACCAGTTTCGGATGGGCTCCAGGACCGTTTCCTCGCACTCCGGCTGAGGTTTCGAAGGGTAGCACAGGAGGGCTGTAGACGCCAATGCCTAAGCTTGTTTTGACCGGTGATGGAAGGACTTGGTCGTCGGTGCGGTCGGCTGGACAGGCCGGCATTGTCGATATCGAGTTGTTATGAGTCGCAATCAGAAGCAGGTCACAGAGTCCTGCATGCCGTGGTTGAGTGAAGACTTAAACCAAGGCTGTGTGACACTGAGGCTAGCCTTGGCGAGAAGCTTGCTCACACCTACCGCAGCAAGAGTAATAGAAAGAAGAACAACAACAGAAGCAGCAACAACAACAACAGAAGCCGAAACAAGCACCACCACCACACAACCAACGACCACAACAGCAGCAAGCAACCAGCAGCCAGCAGCCAGCAGCCAGCAGCCAGCAGCAAGCAGCAAGCAGCAAGCAGCAAGCAGCAGCAGGCAGCAGCAGCAGCAGCAGCAGCAGCAGCAACAAGAACGTTCCCTCCCCAACCGCTGTTTCCGCTGCTGCTGCTGCTGCTGTTTCCGCTGCTGCTGCTGTTGCTGCTGTTGCGGACTTCGGACTGTGACGACTGCTATTATGTGGTCTTAAGAACCTTACTTTTGAACATCCGGCTGCATGGTGAAGGTGCCGTCCCCGCGCTACTTCCACGCCAGCGTAGCCGCGCCCTCAAGGTCTTAAAGCATGATCCACGACGGTTGGATGAAGAAGTAGCAAGACACGTGTATCATGGTGCTATGTTGTCAGACGGCGGATGTTGCGGTGTTTGGAACAAACGCACGGGAAAATCATAGAAGAAATCTATCGCCTCGTTGAGCGTCGCAGAAGGGGAAGGGGGAGAAGGGTCCGAACCGATCGAATCTGTGGCATGTGCAAGTGCAAGAGCGAGAAATCCCCAGGGGCAGGGTGAGCGCACTGGCCACCTTAGACCTTGCACAAGAAGAGCGTTGCTTAGAAGAGGCTGAAGACACGACAAAGAGAAGGCAGCACAGGTTTGGAAACATGTGATCTGGGCGGCAGCGAACGAAATGAGTCAGGCAGGACGAACACGGGGCGATGCAGGGAGGGAAGTTGTCAAGCAAGACACAGCGGATTGCAACATTTTTTTATGTGCCAGTAGGGTATAACACTCTCTCTGCGAGCCTGCGAGCCCGAGGTCTACGGCAATTCGTTGTTTCTCTTCGGAGGCTATAGTGGGCAGGCAGCTTTGTAGCAGTGTCGTGCTGGAAGTAACCCCGAGCCCGAAATCTGTCAACACGGGACGGCACATAATCTCGATTGGGAATAAGCATAACTTCCTTCCTGTAGCTCAGAAGTGGGTTTCCCTGGCTTGACCCAGAAACGAAACAGCTGCACGCAGAGGTGCCTAGACTATCGGGCCAAGATACGCTCAGCAGAGCCAACCCCAAACCCTAAACCCTAAACCCTGAGTAAGTCTGCAAAAGCTTGGGTGAGTTCAATCAGAATCCCGGTTTCTTCGCCCAGGATGCAGGGTGAAATGGGCTTGTCGAAGGGATCTCACGTATGTTTCAGGCTCCAGAGCTGGTCTGCCGAACCAGTTATCCCCTGGTATCTCATCGATCGAGCCTAATATAGTACCCTAAATAATAGGATCCTTATTATAAGGACCCCAAATCGAGTTTGGCAGGAACGGTTAAATGACCTCTATGAGTTCCGGTTCGACTGCCATACTTGGTCCTTGACTCAGTTCTCGGACGCCTACTAAGCCTTCTGATGCCTCTTCGGCTTGTGCCGTGCGGTTCAGGTTTGTGCTAAGCACGGAAGAGCCTCCCAGTGGCAGATCCTCGCTGGTCGCAGAGGCTCGGAGGGAGAAGAAGGGCTCTGAGTGGAAGGGGCGGACAAAGCGCTCCTTCAGCTTTGCGCCCGTGCGGTTGCACGAATGCCTTTTCGGCCTTCGAGTCTGTGATCCGCAAAGGCACTCTCCACAATCCCATCTTTGGGCAGGTGCTTTTTCGGAAGCCTTCGGAATGTGCTCGCCTGACAGTCGCAGCTGCACCTACCTCGAGGTCTGAAGTGGCAGAGGGTAGAGGTGGCCCTGTGCCAGCTTACTCAGTCCGCCATGTTCGCCATGGCTTCGCAGTCCTGGTTTACACCTTCGCTTACTCCGCCCCGTCCTGGGCCTATGAGGCAGAGTGCTCTGGATCGCTCCGAGGCGGCACCAAGAAGAGCTCCTGGCAGGACCTGGGAGCACCGCGATGAACGCTGTGGGCCTTGGGAGCATGGAGCCCCTGCGACAGAGAAGGGGCACAGACCGCAGGGGGTGGGCAGTCTGCGAGGTTTACTAGACTTGCTCACCTCCTGAGACCGGGGTGGGGCTCGAAGTGTGCAACCTGCGACTTGGGGCTTGGATGGGAAGACATCGACGGCAGCTGCAATTAAAGGGAACCTGCATAGAAGGCTCCGCTGTGAAGATTCAAAGATTGCCCGAGTGGACTCACCCTGTATAGCTCGCTAGTGATGCGATAGTCCGCTTGTTTTCCGATGTAGTCTGATCCAAGTGTGTAGCCCGAAGGGAATCTCGCCTTGTACGGCTCGCAGGTGATGTGTAGTCCGCAAGACTGTGCAGCCCGAAGGGACTGCACGACCGCTCATTTCTCTGAGTTTGGCAACTCCACCTCGACGCATCAAGCTGGCTTTGTATCTTTTGCATCAGTGATGCGGCGAAAGGGACCTGACACAAATGTTGCACGCTCGCTTGCAACAAGGGCAATGAATCTAGCCTTTATCACCTGAGACTAGAGAAGGAGAAAGACTGCGTACAATAACCCCGCCCGACCCCCAATTGGGCTTGTGATCTGTCACTGAAGCTGCACCTCACAGAAGCATTGCACTGAGCCCCAGGCTTGGTTTTTGGGCTTGATGGCTTTGAGAGGACAACTGAACTTGCGGACTGTCTAAAACTAAGTCTTCAGTAAGCCTTCAAACCTGACAAAGACTGGTTGGGCTCTGAGGCAGGATTCAGTAACAGGCTTGCAGTGCACGGCGTGCGGTTGCGCCCGGGTGAGGGCACGTTCGGGATTTCAGAGAGGGATACGGGACAGCCTCATTCCATGCCGCATGAGGAGTTTCGCAAGTGCTGGCAAGTCACAGGTCTTCAACAACTCGTTGTACGTCTTCGGCGGCTACAACGGCAGCATCGTGCCTCGAGACTGACCAGGGTTGGTAGCGTCGCAATCATTCGCTAGCTTGCGCAGCCAGTCAACCACAAGAACCCTAAGACCCCATCGACACATGGGTAGTTGTCAAAATTAGGGTCCCTTTTGGGTTACCCTAAATAATAGGTGCCGTATTATAATAAGGACCCAAAAAGGGACCCTAATTTTGACAACCACCCACATGTGGCCAGCCCGTGGCATGTCGCCTCCGGCTGTGAATGGCCCCAGATGCCCTGGTCCGCCAAATTCTGACATGTTGGTGAGACAGCTCTGCATCAGTGCGAAACTGCAAGTGCTGTTGGAGTTGAGAGGATCCTGGTCACTAGGACTGTGTGAGGGTTGCAGTGCTGTAGTTGTACTTGGAGGATCATGGGACTTAGTAAGTATGGTTATAAGTCCCCTAATTGGGGTTATAATTATAGTTAGCTTAGTTATAACCCTACTTACTAAGTCCCATGATCCTTTAAGTAGTTGTAGCATCCCATCGGCCTGCCTCGTCGGATGGAGCCGAGCTCTGCGGCACTCACTTTGACCCTGCAGCATGCCGTCACCGGCGAGAACTTGGTGACCTGGGATGACCTGGAGGAACTTCGGGATGAAATGCTGTTGACCCTACCCAACCGAGCTTTGGTGGCTTAAAAGTCCCAAAAGGGCCCCCCCAGAGGTCAAAGCTGAGGACGCAGAGAGCCCAATACCCCTTAATTAAGGAACGTATCCGAAATTATAGGGGCCTTAACAGTATGATTTAAGGTATAAGCCTTAATTAAGAGGTATTGGGTTGTCTGGGGACCCTCAACCCTAAACCCTAAACCCTAAACCCTCAACCCTCCGATGGGCATGCTGTGTGGTGTGCGAGCTTCGGTGTTATGGCGGGTATGTTAGTGCAATGTTGGTGAATGTTGGGTGTGGGTGAAGAGGCCGCGGCCATAGGCAACTGCCTCAGCCAACTTTGGCGTTCAACCTAACCTAGCCGGGCAGGTGGAAAAGAGGTTCAAAAAAAAACCCTCAACCCTAAACCCTAAATCCCAAACCCTAAACCCCAAACCCTAAACCCTAAACCCGGCCCTGGGGAGCCAGGAGTCGACCACAGCCTCGCAGCTGCGACAGCGCGCCGCTTCGGCGCTCGGGCTCCGGGACGTCACCGCGCTGCGCCTGCTGGCCGCCTTTTCCCAGACCTCCGGGGGTTTTAGGGTTAAGGGTTAAGGACCTTTTTCAGCGTACTGCTAGGGCCGGCGACCATTCTGGGGCCCCGCAGCCTCGCATCTTTGAGAATTGCTGGGTGCACTTGGAGGTTCATGGGTAGTTATAAGTGGAGTTATAAGTAAGCTAGCTATAATCATAACCCATATTCGGGGGACTTATAACCCTACTTATAACTACCCATGAACCTCCAACCCTAAACCCTAAACCCTAAACCCTGAAGCTCCAAGTAGGACAACAGAATTCGAGGGTGGGGCCAAGAGGTCGACCGGGGGCCTTCAGATTGAAGTCTCTCGTTGCAGTTCCCAGAGACTCCAATATCCCTTCTAGGGACCCTAACCACGGCTACAGGGGGGGTTTAGGGTTTAGGGTTGCAGTTCCCAGAGACTCCAATATCCCTTAATTAAGGAATATACCTTAAATCATATTAAGGATCCTACTATAATTTCAGGAATATTCCTTAATTAAGGAATATTGGAGTCTCTGGGTTCCTCTCTTTCAATCGGGTTTGGGTCGGTGTTTTGGAGCAACACGTGGCAGATCGTGGTCGTCCTTGTCGTCGTTTCCGCTGTCGTGGTTGGTCGCGGTGGCTGGGGTCCTTGTGGTTGCTATGCTGGCTGTCGTTTTCGTTGTGGTTGTGGTGGTGGGCGGGGGTTCCGGTGGCGGTATGGTTGTGGTTGTGGCATTGTTGTGGCAGCTGGTGTGGTTGTGGATGTGGGTGTGGCTGTTCTTCGCCTTGTTGTTGTTCTTTGACATTCGGGAGTTTCCGAAAATACGGGGTACCTTGTTTTGGGGTCCTAATAATAAGGATCCTACTATTTAGGGTACTATATTAGGGTCCCCTATTTCGGAAACTCCCATTCGGTGCCTCTGTCAATGCAGCGAGAGCTGGAGGCCTGCTGCTGTGCACCGTGGAGCTGCAGAACCACGGAACCTTGAAGTCCGCAGGACCACGATTTTTACTGTTGACCCTGTGTAGAGTGTAGTGCAACGTCTGCAAGGAGTGAAGGATGGCGACGTGCTTCAAGTTCTCTTCACGGAAGGCGCGTTTCGGGACCCAGAGACTCCAATATCCCTTAATTAAGGAATATACCTTAAAAGTCATATCAAGGATCCTACTATAATTTAAGGAATATTCCTTAATTAAGGAATATTTGAGTCTCTTTCGGGAGCTTCCGGCGCAAGTTGGCCCTGCCCTGTGCCGCCTTTGGCCAGGCCTTGGCTTCGTGACCTGGACGAAGTCCCGGGCGCAGCTTTGGCGGCTCTCAGGCCAGGGCCCAGCAGAGCCCTAAACCCTAAACCCTAAAACCCTAGAGCCCTAAAACCCTAAAACCCTAAACCCTAAAACCCTAAAACCCTAAACCCTAAACCCTAAACCCTAAACCCTAAACCCTAAAACCCTAAAACCCTAAACCCTAAAGCCTCAGCCCCTCCCTGCCCTCCTGTGCCCCCGAGGCGGCGAGCCGGCGGCCAGTGTGGCTCTCCCCAGGGAAGATGGCGACGTGCTGTCCATGGCCTTGGACCGGATACTTTGTCATAGTTGGGTAACATTTTACATTTTTAAGGGTACTTAAACCCAATAAGGAATATAAATGTAGATTTTTAATACCACCCCAACCATGAACTAGGATCTCCGCCACCTTGGCGGCTCGAACCGAAAGGACCGTGAAAGTCTGGGCGACCCGGCTGAGGGCTCTGTCTTCCATCGCTTGGATCTCATGTGATCTCATGGTGAGTGGGGTCAAGATGTGCTAGTGCATCATACCCAGAGACTCCAATATTCCTTAATTAAGGAATATTCCTTAAATTATAGTAGGATCCTTAATATGATTTAAGGTATATTCCTTAATTACGGGATATTGGAGTCTCTGGGTAAGTTGTGCTGAGTGTCTTGGCCGAGTCATATCCCGAGGATGTGGGGAGAGGTGAAGTCGTCTTCGACCACTCAAACGGTGAAAGCGGATCAAAGGCCCTGGCCATCTGCCAGGGTGGGCAGCTTGTGGCATTCTGGGGCGATGCCGACGGCGAGCCCGGTCAACTGCAAGTTTGGAACATCCACGAAAAGTGCTGTGTCTGCATCTGCAGAGATTGTGCCGCTTTAGTGTGCTTTTCTCCAGACGGTCAGCGAGTTGTCGCCGGCGGCCTTTTCGATGCTCCTGCAAGCGTTTGGGACATTTCTGCCGGAAAGCAGCTCTGGACATTGGGGCACGGCACGGATGGGTTCTTCTCTGGGCTGCTCTTCTCACCCGATGGCTCCTCAGTCGTCATTGCCAGCCGAGAACCAAACTGGGAGGAGATCGACTTATGGTGCGGAAAGACTGGATCGTGGTTAAGGGGCTTAGGCGGGGGAGCCTTTGGCTTGGCATTCTCCGAGGATGGTGAAGAACTGGCTGGGCTTGACGAAGTTTGCAGCACCGTTTACATCACAAGCACCTTGACAGGGTCGGTGCTGGTGCAGCTGAGCCTCGCAGAGTGGGCAGGCTCGCGCTGTAGCCAAGCAGTGCTCAAACCGAGCTCAGGGGACTTTTGCTTCGCGGGCGTTTGGGAGGAGGATGGTGTCACTGCAACTTAGTTCATCAATACCCAACCTTTAAACTTCTTGGGTTCTTCTAGTTTAATTAATCTGAAAGCTTAACCTTTTATGCCTCTGGCTTATTGGCGAAGTAAGGCAAGGACCATCCGAAAGCAGGAGGTCTTTAAGTTCGCCGTAAGGGACGATCCCGGCGGCCTTTGCTTATGCTGACCGCACGTCAGTCGGGAGCCGCTTGGACCCTGCCGGAACCCAGAGAGCCCAATACCCCTTAATTAAGGAAATATACCTTAAATCATACTCTTAGGGCCCCTAAAATTTAAGTTATCTTCCTCAATTAAGGAGTATACCTTAAATCATAATATTAGGGCCCCTATAATTTAAGGTATCTTCCTCAATTAAGGAATATACCTTAAATCATAATATTAGGGCCCCTATAATTTAAGGTATATTCCTTAGTTAAGGGGTACTGGGTTCTCAGGGTCAACACTCCGGGCCTCTAGCCGAGTCCTGGCTTCGAGGGTAACTATAGGCGCCTAGTCCAAGCGAGGAGCGCTTCCGAACAAGATCGAGGAAGTCTGTGAAATCGCGTATTCGAGGACCCCTCCAAAAGATTGGGAGTTTCCGAAAATAGGGGACCCTAATGTGGTACCCTAAATAATCGGATCCTTAATATAAGGACCCCAAAATAAGGTACCCCAATTTTCGGAACCCCCCATTTGGAAGTCTATGTCGGAGCAATCGAAATTCGAGGCGCTTCCAGGCCGGGGAAGGGCCCAGGCGGGGCGACGCCACTCATCCCGAAAAGCGAGTCTGTTCGCAGCGGGATTCGAAAGGGGGGATACTACCTAGTCGCAGGAGAAGAACCGGCGCATGCCCCACGGCCCCAGGCTTCAGCGAACAGTCTGGATTCAAGACGGCTCACGTAAACGAAGGACAACGAACTGTGCCTTTCGAACTGATCTTGGGGCGTTTTCAGAAGAAGTTGGATGAGTTCAGAGGCTGCTCGGCTTCGGAGCCGCCGTACCTCTGCATCGCCGTGAACTTTCGCTACCAAGAGCTTCGCCACTTATCCGGTGGAGCAGGAATCCGAAGAGGCCACTGGGCTGGGACGATGCGTACGGCCTGTGAAGCCACTGGAGACGGTACCATCCGTCGAGTGATCCGGGTTGTCTGCGATGGGGTAGGATGGGATGTGGCAGTCCGCGCCCAGGAACCCTCGCCGGACCTGGATGTGCCCCTTGTGAGCCTGTGTCAAGAAATTGGGACCGGCACAGCCCCGAACAATAGCTCTGGCCCTTCTGTGCCCCGTCAATTAATTAAGCCGCAGCTTCATGGGGGTTTCTGAAAATAGGGGACCACAAGTAGTAGGATCCTAATTATAAGGACCCCAAAAGAAGGTACCCCTGATTTCGGAAACTCCCTCATGAAGTACCACTGGCAAAATCTTCCTCAAGCTCCTCCTTGGCTTCCAGCACCTCTGTATCGGACAAGCTCGGAGGTGTTGGAGATGGTCGCTGCTGAGCACTCTCCAAGTGAAGTTCTGAGTAGTCCCGGTCCTGTAGGAGCCTGTAGTGACTGTAGTGGTGAGCTGACACTTGTTCGTGATGCGCGGCAAGTCGGCTCTTGTGGCGTGGATCTCCTTTTTTGTGTCCTTCTGAAACGGCGGACCCGAGGCAGGACAGGATTCCACAGCCTTCCATAATTCGCTTGTGGCTCTTAGGATATGGAACAGCATACGTAAGACTGGGTCGCTACAGCGAGTCGGACAGGCTTTGTCGCTTTGGCGTCGCAGGTGTTTCCTCGGGATGCCATATGGGTAGTTCTCTAAATTAGCGTCCCCTTTACTTTAGGGTCCAGTTTATAAGGGTGTCGTACTATATTTGGGACCCGAAAAGGGACCCTAATTTAGAGAACTACCCATATGGTCCATCGAAGCAATCCCAAAGACCCTAAACCCTAAACCCTAAACCCTAAACCCACCCTCGAACTGGGGATCCGGCCTTCGGCATTTTGCTTCAGGAATCTCAAGCATGAAGAGAGTCTCTACGCCTGACTGGGTCCGAATGTAGGCTGGTTCCTTTTCCGAAGACAACGATGCAGACAGTGACAGACGCTAAACCCTAAACCCTAAACCCCGATGTTCAATTGCTTCTAGCGGCATCTGTTTCTCTCCTCAGCCCTCAAGCCCTCAACTCCCAAGCCCTCGGGCTTTCTCATATATGAAAAACCACAATCGTCAAATGCCCGGACACACAGACACAACAAAAGCCGGAAGGACCCCTAAGCACGAATGCGCCAAATTTCGAAATACTACTGTAGGAACCTGATTAAGAAACCCTGGCCCCATAACCCCAATATATAAGGGCTCATATTAAGAACCCTAATAAAGAGCCAGGGTTTCTTAATCAGGTTCCTACAAATTACACTCATCTCCACGCCAAGAGTCGCTTCACTGCTTTAACTGCTAACCCAGAGAGCCCAATACCCCTTAGTTAAGGAATATACCTTAAGTTCTTGTCTTAAATCATAATATTAAGGCCCCCATAATTTAAGGTATATTCCTTAGTCAAGGGGTATTGGGTTCTCTGGGACTGCTAAGTCCTGAAGCCCTACCGTGTGGTGCACGGCTTCTGAGAGAGAGTCAGGCATCAGGGTCATTGCCCAGAGACTCCAATATTCCTTACCTAAGGAGTATTCCTTAAATTATAGTAGGATCCTTAATTTTGATTTAAGGTATATTCCTTAATTAAAGGATATTGGAGTCTCTGGGTGCTACCGTCGCATGTAGCCTAGCCCCTTTCATTCACAAAAGGGACAGGATGAGCCTACGGCGTATATCTGCTGCGTACTCGCGTGTATTGAGCGATTCTGGAAGCTTGACTTCCCTTCATCCGGTCTTCAAAGCAGTGGGCAATCTTCTAAACAAGATGCGACAGGTACATCCTAATTAGGAAAAGTCTGTGGATCCGAGAGAACCTGTGTGCATGTAGGCGGCGCTGGAATCAGCCTAAGGTGCTGAACGACTTTTACGAGTTCCGATTCGAACCTGTCAGCATACCGCTTGATGCCCAGGACTTCTTGTTGGCTGCTTGTTTGGGGGTTTCCGAAAACAGGCAGACCCCAATATTTATAGTACCCCAAATACTAGGATCCTTACAACAAGGACCCAAAAGAAGGTACCCCTTATTTTCGGAAGCTCCCATCTGGTCGTGCTTCGGGATGTCGGGTGATGTCCGTCCCCAGAGACTCCAATATCCCTTGATTAAGGAATATACCTTAAACCATATTAAGGATCCTACTATAATTTAAGGAATATACCTTAATTAAGGAATATACCTTAAACCATATTAAGGAAGGAATCTTGGAGTCTCTGGGTCTGAGGCCGTCAAACCTGGTGGATGACCTGAGAAAGCTGATCAACAATCCAGCATTTGCAGATGCAGCCTTCCCAGCTTCCCTGCTTGGAGGTTCATGGGTAGTTATAAGTAGGGTTATGGGGTCCCTTTGAGGGTTGATTGAAAGGGTTCTATAGGGTCTAGGGTTTAGGGTTTAGGGTAGCCTTCCCAGCTTCCCTGGAACTGTCGGCATCTGCTTGGAGGTTCATGGGTAGTTAGAAGTAGGGTTATAAGTCCCCTAATATGGGTTATCATTATAGTTAGCTTACTTATAACCCTGCCCAGAGAGCCCAATACCCCTTAATTGAGGAATATACCTTAAATTATAGGGGCCTTCATATTAAGATTTAAGCTATATTCCTTAATTAAGGGGTATTGGGCTCTCTGGGTGGAACTGTTGGCATCTGCTTGGAGGTTCATGGGTAGTTAGAAGTAGGGTTATAAGTCCCCTAATATGGGTTATAATTATAGTTAGCTTAATATGGGGGTTATAATTATAGTTAGCTTACTTATAACTCCACTTATAACTACCCATGAACCTCCAAGTGGAACTGTTGGCATCTGGTGGGGTAGTGCAGGAGCCCTCGCTGTCCATGAAAGCTGAAATGTAGCTGCCCAGAGACTCCAATATTCCTTAATTAAGGAATATTCCTTAAATTATAGTAGGATCCTTAATATGATTTAAGGTATATTCCTTAATTAAGGGATATTGGAGTCTCTGGGTGAACAGGTCACTTTCGTAGTTGAGAACCAGTCTGTGTACGCAACGTCGTGGCCTCAGGGGCTCTGCTATCGTCATGCAGTCGTTGCTGCCGCTAGCAGCAACCGGGATGTGGAATCCATCAGCAACAAAGTCTTGTGCTTCGAGATGAGCTGTGATTCTGTGTGTCTTCCCGCTAAGCCCCTAAACCCTAAACCCTAAACCCTAAGCTTGAGAGGCGTGCGCATTTGGCTGCTCGGTCCGAACACTTCAGAGCGCTCTTCTACGGAGGCATGCGAGAGTCGCGGCTCGGCTTACGACCTTAAGCCCTAAAGGAGGGCCCGGTTTAGGGTTTAGAGTTTAGGGTTTAGGGTTCTACCCGAACCCCGGATCCTAAATTTCAATGCTCCTAAATCCGAGAAGCGTCAAGACGAAGCTTAGGCTAAGGGTTTTACACTTGACCTTAAAGGGCGGGCTTCAAAAGGCAGGGCTGGGTACAATGTGAAGATGTCCTTCAGCCCTGAAGCACTTGGGAAGACCCTAAAATGACTCAGTAGTCGTACTAAACTCTGAGCCACAGAAAGCACGGTTTAGGGTTTAGGGTTTAGGGTTTGGGGTTTAGGGTTTAGGGAAGCTTGGGGCTTTGGAGCACCTTGGTTTTTCAGGTCCGATGCCGAGGAGCAAATCGTGCTTCAAGATGTCGCGCACCCCGTCTTCCTCTTGCTACTAGAGCACCGGCCTCGGATTGGCTAAAAGCCCTTTAGGGGGTTTGGGGTTAAGGGTTTAGGGTGGGGATTCTACTTGGAGGATCATGGGACTTAGTAAGTAAGGTTAGAAATAAGGTAGCTATACGTATAAGTTTATAAGTACTTATAACCCCAATTAGGATACCTATAACCTGACTTGCAGATCCTCCAAGTACCTAAACCCTAAACCCTAAACCCTAAACCCTAAACCCTAAACCCTAAACTCTGCGGTGGAGGGAACCTGTGGATGCAACGAGCAACCTTGGCTTGTCTGCAGTGCCAAGGTACATCTACACCGATCAGGCCTCGTTGTTGCTGACCTGCCCAGCCGCCCTAATATAGGGGCCTACATAATTACACATACCATGT